GCAAAGACTGGAGGTTTTTCACCATTCCAAGTGAGCATTCAGTCCTGAATAAATTACCTAGAAGAATTAAAGGAGCCTGCGGTTATACCTAAGCATGCATAAGAGACGTGCACCGTCCCGTGTAAAGCCATCCTCAGCCTCTGGTAGGTTGAAGAAACCTCCTGGGAGGAAGGGAGACTTGGGAGAACAGGCAGGCAGCCAGAGATATTGCCGGGCCAGAGGGGTCAGCACAGGAAGCTGCTCAGCTTGTGCCTCCCACCACTGAGGCAGGGAGACATCAGCAGGAGCTGCGTCAGCTAAATGTTGATACCGAAACCATTCCATTTCTGGCACCTCCGAAAGGCCGGGGACCCCATGGTCGGGCTCTATCTGGCTCCATCCTACAGCCCCCAGTTGCTTGGGATCAAGTGCCCGCACTGCTTTCAAGGTGGGCATCGCAGGGTGAGAGTCAAACAAATGCTCCAGGCGACTCAGGCTCTGAGCTAAGATTTGATGAAACTGTTTTGCCAGCTGAGGTGGGCACACAGCCAGATGCTGCTCTGTGTTGGGCCCCAGCCTTGCATCTAAGTGATAGGAGAAAGAAACTCGCAAGGAATCTAGTTCCCCGTAGATTCGGTGGGCCAGTGGCTCACCTGTCTGGCGGAGAAACCGTGCCACGGCCAACAGACCTTGGGCATGCTCGCCTACAAAAGTGGCTTCCGCCACCAGTTCCTTGTCATTCTCCACCAGGATACTCTGCAATTTCACCATAATGGGCCCCTCGACTTCATCAGTTGCTACAAATTCCCTCAGAAGGGGGAGATGTTGTGCAATGCCTGTTGCTTTCTCCAACCAAACCTCAGGGCCAGCCTGCCTGTTGCACACAGGGAGGGACAGCTTCAGTTCATGCTCTTTCAGGAATAGGGCGTAACGGTGACGGAGAGCTGGGCGCCGTCCAAATGTCTCTTTCAGAAGATGCTGCAGTGAAGCCAGCCTTTCTAACTTATCTTGCCATAGCTCCATCACCAACTCCAACTGCTGGTACAAGCAAGGAACGTGAAGGGCAGCTGGCAACACCGCACCTAAAATCCCATTGGCAGCAAAGGCCTGGATCATAGGCGCACCCCCTGAAGTGACCACAGCCAGTACGCGGTGGAACAAAACGTGCCCTTCACTCAGCATGCGGGCCACAGCACGGGCCACTAAGGGATGGCTCAACTGTTCCAGGACCTCAATCCCGAGAAGCAGTGGAGCCTTCCCAAGTCTGTTAAGAGGCAGAAGGGAGAGGCCAAGGGCTGCCCGCCCATCGTCTGTGGTAGCCTCATGAAGGAAGACAAAGGCATCCCGCTGCCAAAGGCTGTGGCAAAGAGCCGATTCATGCTGTCGTCTCAGGGCAGGAAGGAAGCTACGATAGAGCTGTGCAAGGGAGGGGAGTGGTCGTCTAGCCCCTGCCTGCCGCACAAGAGCCTCAAAGAACTCTGCCTCCGAAAGGGGGACCCCTGTCTGGGCTAAGGCCTGGATCAGAGTCACCACAATTGAATCTGGCGCAGCAAAGGATTCCGAGCGACGGCAGCGGGACACATTCAATGGCGTTGCACGTGTTTGTCTCTCAGGGCGGGG